GTTGTTGGTTTTTTAGTCGATCTGCGGATTGCGCGAGCCCAGGCCTACATTTTTGGTGGCGATTGTGAGATACTAAAAGAAATATTTCTAAAGAAGATTCTATTTAGAATTAATAAGCTGTATATTTATGGATCAATAAGTAAATAAGCATGCTTATGAAAAATATCTTTGATAATACCATTAGTTAATGCAATTTTAGCATTTAAATTTACTTACAACGTGACTTCGATATTGAGAATATAATACAGTATGTAGTATTTGATGCACTTCTTATATGAATCTATAATTCGGATTTTAATATTGCTTAAGAAAACCTATCCTCCACAATTAATACACTTTTCATACGAATTTGAATTAAAAAATTATGTATGTTTGCGAAAGCTACTCCCTATATAAGTATAAGCTTTGAAAATACCGTAATAAAATAATGGTAATGCCACCAAAAAGTTTATCTATTTTTGCCATGGAATATCAAGGATATTTCATCAACAGAGATGATATTCATATATGGGAGACTGAAATAGGCGGGCGAAAGGATAAGCATAGCGCAAGAAAGTCATGAGACCGATAGCATTACGTATTACGTATAATAATTGACGTAACCAAAAACCGTAATAACACGCACAGCATGAACAATCAAGGATATACTGTATCTATAAGCTCATGTAACATGACGACTTGGATTAAAAAAAAAGACGATATACTGTACATACAGTAGTAAAAAAAAGTATAAAAACGAGATACGTACAGTAAGACGCAATAGTAAATATAATTCGACAAAATATTGTACCTTGTCATGCTTCACCAGTTTTGGTTCATGTTTTAAATGATCGTGTTTTCTGGTTACGCGAGCCCAGACCTTTCGCGGCAGACTTGCCATTTAGTTCGAAACAATAAAAAATTGTGTGATCGAACTTTAAGAAATTAGTTGATTAAACATGACATCAAGGAGTGCCGCGAAAGCAATCAAAATCAGTATCGGTGATAATGTAAACCAAATGAATTGGGCAATAACTAGCATTTTAAGATACAATGTAAAATAAAAAAGTCATATATATTAAAGTTTTTATATTTCCCACCTTTTTCTTTGAGCCATTCAGTCAGCTCGCAATGACAACATCTTTGCTGCCACCTTTGTCAGTTTATGGGATGAAGTTATTTTCGGTATATTAAATTCAATGATTGAAAAGACTATTGACAGCATATTAGCGAGATACAAGGCAGTCATCGTTCCTATGACATCATAAAGTCATCATTAGCAAATTAAATAAAACACAAAGGACAGTATCTTTTTTAATAATTTTTCTGGCAGAGTAAACACCAACAGCTTAAACTGTCTACTGAAATTATAGTTTTTTCTTTTTCGCAATTTTGGTCAAGAGGTTTTTGGACAAAACCTTCCATTTCACCTCCTCAAACTAATGAAAAACAATCAACCAAGGACATAATAAAGTGTTGTCATAACTTGTTTCTTGGCGGTATCGTCTAGGAAGCCATTCGTCACGAAAATTGGAGCTGTGATTATTGTACCACCTTTCCTGTAATTCGGAACCATCAAAATTTAATAGCCATTATCTTGGCACAAAATCAATATTAAAAAAACTTTGTTTCAATCGCACGATAGGGAAATTTTGAAAGAGAAAGTAGATTATATCTTGGGTTAGACTAATTTGACTTCTGGATGTCTTTCCAAGACCTAAAAATGTCCAAAAAAAAAGGACTATAAATAAATCACATATAACAACTACTTTTTACTAACCTTTCTTTTATTGATATTTTTCGAGTTACTAAAACGTTTTTTGATATTTGCAGTATTGCACATTTGTTTCAAAATTTGGCTCTCCTAAAGCCTCCGAAATAACACAATCGTTAAGGCTTATAATGTCACGATTGAGCAATGTTTTTGTTTTCGGTCTTGTTTTTTGATATTTTTTGTTGTGATTTAAAAAGATTTATTCTATGTCACCATTTTTCTATTATCGTTTCAAACTTCCACTGTGCCAATCCCAATACATTTCATAGCTATCGAACGAGGGTTACATTCCTGTTTGTGGTGTTGTGGGAACATCCGCAGATTCCGTAGCAGAGTTCGTCTTATAACTATAGCTGTCAATTGACAATAGTGTGATAACTTTATGGAAGCATCGAGAGATGGTGTTTTTGTGGGTGAACATCCAGTACAGAATGGCGGAGAAAAAGAATTTTTTTTTCAGAAAATTCTTGATTAAATCGAATCATCTAGGTACTGATACCAAGAAGCACGGAAAAATAAATGAGTGTATATTTTCAAACTTATTTTTCAACTCGATGAAAATTTGTTTGCGCCGATATTAAATTTTCTTCCAAAACAAATTAACAACGGCCGAGTTCATCTATTTAATGGTCACATCAAAGGCTTAGCTTAAAAATAAATTTTAATAACAGTACAGTATCTCTTTCTGAAGATCCATTGACCACTTCCTTAACCTTCGCCGTCACGTCTACCTCTAAAATTGCACGTAAGGAAACTTCAAACCTTTTATGGAGATCTCATTTTTCATGAAACGACAAAGTTTTTCTCTCACTCGCTGACTTTAAGAAGCACCATGTTCCGCTATTCCAGTCGAAGAAGGAACATCACTCAGAGAAGAAATATGTACATTATGTCGTAACGAAATTTCACAAACGTCATGTCCCTTTCTTCCTTATAGCCCGACCTTATCGATCGTCCACGCAAGCACTTGGCTTTCTGTTATTAATCGGTTGATGAACCAATCATTATGAAATTTCTGTTTATTTGCAAGCTGTTGGACCTTCCCGAGACGGCATTGAAGAAGTTGGCACGCTGAAAATATTAGCGATAAGAGGTAACCATTATAACTCGGTTATTAATTGATGGACGAAGTGCGCAGCTTCGCATGCAGAATGGATATTCCAGATTTGTTGTTAATTCGTGGTTCTTTTTGAAAATTTTTTCGTTTCGCTTTACTTCTCCAAACATACTGTTAGCACGCCTAAATGAGTCTGGAAATAAAAGGGCGAAAACATTTTAAAAGAGTAGATATTTACGTTGTGATTGTTCGTCGCTTTTAGTAATTTTTTCACCTTGGAACGTGATCCTGGAGATCTATTTTTACGTAATTAAGAATTATCTATCAGCTATTGGAAGTGTCGAGTAGATTCCGCAATCATACAATAATGCATTACCGGTTATCTAATCCACTTCCACGATTCTTCTTCTTTTTTTTTTTTTTGCAAAACTATACGCTAATCGAGATGGCTCGCCGAATTAAATTAAAGTTACTTTTGTCTATTTGTTATCCGAAAATTATATTTCATAAATACTGTATTTATCATGTTTTTTTTCTAGCAACTGACTCGATTTGCGATTCGAGTGTTATACACTTTCGACAAGATTTTTTATTTGGAAAATTGAGTGGTCAAGTATCCCTCTTCTGCCTATGATCGGATATCTTCAAAGATATAAAGATGAAGTATAGTATAAAAACACGGGATGAAACGATCATTCGGGAAGTTAGGTCAAATGATGTCAGTGTTCTCGAGGTTTCCTGAGATTTCGTGATGCTAACACAGACCGACCGACATTATTGATAAAGTTGATTTTGTTGATGGATCCCGAATTGATCTCGGTCGTTGGTTAGGATAGAAAGGACAATCCGAAGAAGAAACGTTCGCGAGAATCTTAAATTCATGCGATGTGTGTTCGGAATATCAAATCGGCACACGTACAATATTCGTGAAGCAAGAAGCTCCGAATAAAAAACATGACTTCTGATTGCTAAGAAAAGTCAAAGTCAATTAACACTTTTGTTATCAATGGCAAGAAAGTCTCTAAAAGAAAAAAAATTCAACTGTGTAATACTGAAAACCTCACCCACCTTTGAAGAGAGTTATAATAGAACTTGTATATAGTTGAAAGACGTTTTTTTTTTTTTTCCTTTTTTAACTGTCTTCATAATTTTCTGGGAAATTTTACCTATCTCAATTTGAATCTAAATTTTTAAATAACAAAACCCTCAATTTTGCCAAAAATATTGATTTTTAGAAAGTAAACAAACTCCAATAATCTTACATGCTTCGAATTATTTTTTATTGAAATGCACAGGTTTAATTTATTAAATATGATAAAGTACAAGTTAATTGATTCAATAAATTAATTTTACGAACTCATTTTCTTTATACATTTCTCTATCAAAATTCTATAAATCGAGTTGGTTTTTTAAACTCCTTATGGCTTGTGAATTGAAATTTCTATAGACATTAATGAGAATATTTGTAATGTCTTTAAAATTAAAAGTTTAATTGTCGTGATCCTGACATTGGATACACCGTCTCCCAAAAAGAACGCAACACCTGATCGGCGATCTTTAAATGCTAAAATTTTAAGTATGTTAAATCAAATTATGATGAAATTTATAATATAGATAGAATATAAGTATGCTTAAATAATGCATAAGTTAAAATAAATATTAAATTAATAAAAAAATTTTTTTATGATAATTTTTTTAAAATTTACTGTTACATTATTTTTGGAGTTTTTTAAAAAAAATAATAAATTTTATTTATTTATTTTTTTTTTTTTTGAGTATCCGTAGTCAGGCTAGATCATCAGTTTATTAATCAAATGAAGACAAAAGTACATTTTCATTCAAGCAGCATGATACATACTACAG